GGTCAAATCCTACTACCTAAGGATGTTAGAGGAAGGTGGCGAACATTTGGAGGATGAAGAGAGGAAATATGCTTTGAAGCTAATTTGGAAAGCTACAATTCCATTAAAGATCAGAACTTTTGCTTGGTGTGTGATCATAGATAGATTGCCTACCTGTGGCAATTTGGTGAAACAGGGTATCATATCAAATTTGTACAAAAAGGTGTGTGTGTTTGTGTATGTTATGTTTTTTGGGTGAGGAAGATATACAACGCATGCTTTTGGACTGTATCAAATCAAAGTTGCTTTGGCATACAATTTGTGGCTGGTTTGAGGTTGATGAGATAATGGTTTCATCGTGTTGTGATCACTTAAGAGCATGGATCCAAATGAATTTGTCGAAGATGTCAATTAATAATGCAGTTGGGATTTGGTGTATGGTGTGCTGAGCATATAGTATGAGAGAAATCAGATTTTATTCAATGATAGGATTTGTATATTGAAGATATGAAACAAAGATGTGTACTTAATGCTTGGTGGTAGATTGGAAGGTCGAGAATTAATCGAGGAAATTGCTCTTATTATGAGTGATGTAAGCTTCCTTGGTTGTTCCTTTAATTTATGGGTTGATTAGTTACTGTCATGAACTAGGGAGATTAGAACATAATGTATTATGACGGTTGTTTTGGGTTTGGGGTCCCTTTTTCCCCTATGTTTATAATACACATTAACAAAGGTCCCCTCTCATTCATAAAAAAATAAACTAAAAAATTATATAAAAAGGATCCACCTTGGGATTCCTCTCTTGGAAAGAGGTATTTTCCTCTCGCTAAGTGAAATTTTAAAATTGAACAGGGTCCAAGGAGACACATTTCAACAAGTTCTGTTTCCGAAAAAATGCAAAACCTCTTGCAGTAGCATTATCCACACGCGGCTACAACCTTTTCCTGTTCTTTCAGCAATGATGACAAGAACGCCGCAGCTTGACACAAGCAAACCTACTCACATCATCGAAGCAGTAACAACAACGTAATCACCTTGTAATTTCGACATCAACATAATTATTTTCGTTCACTCTCCAACCCACAACTCGGACAACAACCGTGACACGCAAGAGAGAGAGAGAGAGAGAGAGAGAGAGAGAGAGAGAGAGAGAGAGAGAGAGAGAGAGAGAGAGAGAGAGAGAGAGAGAGAGAGAGAGAGAGAGAGAGAGAGAGAGAGAGAGAGAGAGAGAGAGATGCGGAAGAGAGTGACAAGAGAGAGATAACACAAACAGGGAGTATTGAAGAGGAAGGTCGACTCTTTCCCTTTTTTGTTGTTGCTGAATTTTTTGTTTTTTTCTTCATTTAAGTCATTTATGTTTTTTTTCATCGAAAATAAGGAAAGGTTGGAGGCGGTTTCCCATCTGGTTTGCAACATTTTTTTTTATTTTTTTATCATTATTCTCTGCATAATTGAAACAAGGGTTTGTTTTGTTTAAGTTTGGGCTTTGGTCTATAGTGGTTTCTTACACCCTTTATTCATGTTTACATTCTCTGTGTTGTTTTTAGTCTTTTAATTCTATTTTATATCTTATTTCTTTTGATTGATTTTATTATTTATTTTTGTAATTTAATTAATTGATTATTTTTGTTAATTGGTTAATTGATTATAGTTTAATTAGATGTTTTTTAATCGCTAAATAAATTACTTGATTAATTTTTAATTTGCCATGTTTAGCCCTTTATTTAGGTGACCTTTATCCATGTTCATATTCTCGTACATGTAATTAACCATGCTAACTTTACTAACATTCCTAATCAATTTTAAAACAATTTCATATCATTTTTCATTAATTCCAATTCAAATCATTTTCACAATCACTTAAACGAAAAGAAATGGTTTAGAGCCTTTTATTCCCTTCTCGAAGGCTTGGATACGAGTAGCCTTACTCGGTATTCAAGTATTCGTCGTTTATCAAAATACTTAACCTATACTTAAATACTATTTCATTAAAGATAAAAAGGGAGATGACCTGGAGCCTTCGATTCCTCTCCTCAATTGTTTGGGTATGAGTTGCCTTACTCGATTAGTCAAACAATTGTCATCTTTTAAAATTTCCAATCCGATTCACCTTAAAACCTTTTCGTAACTTAATTAAAACTTATTTTCCTAATAACTTAGATGAAAAAGAAACTGGTCTAGAGTCTTCTATTCCCTTTTCTGAATACTTGGATACGAGTTGCCTTACTCGACCATTCGAGTATTCGCCATCCATTTACAATACTCTAAATATACTAAATCCTTTCACAATTAAGGATGAAAAGAGAGATGGTCTAGAGCCTTCGATTCCTCTCCTTGATTATTTAGATACGAGTTGTCTTACTCTACCATCTGAGTAATAATCATTCAATCAAAATATTCAACCAATCAAACTCTTTTTTCTCGCAGTCGTGCGGTATTTAAAACATTTTCAAAAACGAAAGACATTTTGTATTAAGATGATGTAGAGCAATGTTTTATCCATAACCGTTGAGTCGAGATAAGTGGCCTGAATGTGATTTGTAAATCCATTTTATGTGATGTAAATGTCCTCCTCACATGTTTTGCGTAAAACAATATTTTACGTCGGTTAATACAAGATATCTTTCGCTAAACTCGACCAACAAACAAACTTTTTAACCCAGAACTACGTGTGTCTTGATTTCTCTTTTGAGATACATAGGAGCATGATTGCGAAATCTTGTCAGGCCCCCTAATAATAAAAAACTTTTTAGGTCATTTTCTATTTTCTTTTCCCTCTTAATAAGTTGAGAAGCCTAACTTTTAAGCAAACACTAACATGCATAATTAACCTAACAGTTCCCTTTGAGTACAACGGATGTGAGGGGTGCTAATACCTTTCCCTTGCGTAACTGACTCCCGAACCTTGATATTGGTTGCGATGACCATGTCCTTATCCTTCTTTTAGGGGTTTTATTTGAAAATTTTCCTTTCTCTATATGGGAATAAATAAAAATCGATAGTGACTTTGTTAAGTCCATCCCGCGAGCGCGATATTGCACTTCGCGAGGTCGTGCACTCATTTTTCGAGGTACGATAGTGAGGAATTCGTTATGTGTAAGGGTTTAATTGTAAATTTACTGAGAGTAATTTTTCTCTTGAGCAAATCATTCTTCTATAGGAAGCAATTAATTTTGTTTGGAGCTAAACCATTATAAAAGCTCTTACTTTTATTTTTGGGGATTAGAATAAGTTCTTATTTGGTTCGTGAGCTCGCCATTGAATAAAATTTCTCTTTTGAGGTTGTGAAGAATAACTAGTGAAAAATCTTCACAACGGTTATCGAGTTGAGTCCGTTTAAAAGCTTAGTATATTTGAGATCAACTCGGTAAAAATCTTGATTTGGTTCGTGTCCATCCCTTGTAAAACGTCGGTTTTGATTTATAGGATAACCAATTTAAGATTTCATCTTGCTTTGAGATCATCCTCTGCAAAATATCCAATGGTCTTAGAGACTAATCTCTTGAAGCTTTGTTCATTGTCTAGTTTGGAGACATAACTGCTTCAAGCCTCAGTTCGTTTTTTATTGAAAGTTAGCCTGAAACTTCATTTTCTTGTATAAGGGGGTTCATGGGTTTAACCTTTTAAAAACTCAAGAAATAATTGATACTCTCAAGATATGTTCTTGGGGAAATAAGTATTTTACTTCTTTAAAATTGAATCTCTATAAATTTCAGGTGTCGTTCTCTCTCCCCTTATCTCTTTTATTTTCTACTTAATTTCTTTACTTTAAAATTATCCTACTTATTCAAACATCTTTTGATAAGATGCTTTCAAACTCTCATTTCAAAAAAAAAAAATCGACAATTTTCAAACCTCCATAATTCAATCTCCTTTCCCCCTATGTATTAAGTCACATGTTCAATAACTCGTGTTTAGAATTAATCATATCAAGAGGAGGATAACTTCCAACACTTTTAACAAGAGCACTTTCTTAAACACACTTCCAATATTTAATGGTGATAGATTTGAGTTATTGAAATCTAAATTTAAAATGTTCATTCAAAGTTTCAATCTTGAATTATCAGAAATTGTAGTCAACCGTCTATTTATTCCTACTCATTGCATAAATAGTGAAGTAGTGGATAAACTAGATTTTCTTTGATTTATAGAAGAAAAAATAAAGTTTGAAATTGAATTTAAATTTAAAATATAAAAAAAAAACATTTTATTTATGTCCTTAGATAAAAATCAATTATTCTATCCATGATTATAATTTTACTTAAAATAATCTATGAAATTTCTCTAAATATTCGAACAAGAGATAATAAAAATTTGAAAATTTGAGGAAAAAAAGATGAGTGCTTCTTTCACAAAATCTTTTCAATCCTTAGAAATTTTGGAAAATGTTGGTGGTTATCAATGGAGACATATCATTATGAGCCTTAACGACAATAATCATATTACTTATTTACTCATAGTTACTATGAAATCAAAGTTGGACATTCATCTAATTCTAAAATTGATGCATTATTCGCTTTGTAATAATTCTACGCAAGCCAAAAACAGTTATATAGAAAATTAACAATAGCTTCCTAATCAGTGTATATAATCATATCTACTGTAAATTAATAAGGTAGGTTGGTTTAAAATTCTCATACTAACTATTGACTATTAATAATTCTTGTAAATGAATAGTGTTATATAATAATTTGAAAATGGTGGACATAATATAGGTGGTGCATTAACTAACTTATAATTTTGGAATGGTATACAAATTCAAAGGGTAAACGAAAATCATGGACACAACACAACCCATATATTACCTCTCTTCTCTTGCTCTTTTTTTCTTTTCTTTTCTTTCCCTCCCTTCATTTTCATACTAAAAACTTCACATTTTCTAACCACACACCCTCCTCTTTTATCGCTCATAAATCTACCTCTTCCACTCAAACATATCTTTCCCATTTTCCACCTTTTCTTAGTTAGTTAGAAACATAAACACAAACACACACCCAAACACTCACACATACACAACAATGGCTTTCTTTGACAAATCATCTCGCAACTCTCTTGTTCCTGGATTTCTTTACTCATCAAATGCATTCTCTCATTTGGATTCTTCTTCAATCAACCATGCACCATCACCACTACCACGTAGGAACAATATTCCTATGATCCCTTCACCGGCGGAGAGTAGTATCCCCATGTTTTCACCTGCATTCTACGCTGCATGCAGCGCCGGTGGAGTCTTCAGCTGTGGCCTCACCCACATGGCTGTCACTCCTCTTGATCTCGTCAAGTGCAACATGCAGGTGTACACGTAAAATATATTATTCCGGTTTTTTTCACGTCGAACGATAAATATAATAGAAAATTTTGATCTTTGTTGTTGTTTTCTTTATCAGATTGACCCTGCAAAGTATAAGAGCATTACATCAGGATTTGGAGTTTTGCTTAAGGAGCAAGGTGCTAGAGGTTTCTTCAAAGGCTGGGTGCCAACTTTGCTTGGTTATAGTGCTCAAGGAGCATGCAAGTTTGGATTTTATGAATTCTTCAAAAAGTATTACTCAGATCTTGCAGGAGTAGAGAATGCAGTCAAGTACAAAACTTTCATATATCTAGCTGGTTCGGCTTCGGCGGAAGTTATTGCTGATATTGCTCTTTGTCCTATGGAGGCTGTCAAAGTTCGTGTGCAAACTCAGCCTGGATTTGCTCGTGGTTTGTCCGACGGGTTGCCCAAGTTTATTAAGGCTGATGGTGTTTCCGGGTACCTTTGCCTCTAGTATTATGTTGTTTCTTATCATACATACATGAGCTATGTTACTATGTAGCATTGACACCTGAGATAGAAGTCGTGTCTGGTATTTATGTTTGTGTCGCTGTTTCATAGTAGATCGGTAATTTTAGATTTTGTAAATTCCAGATTTGATCAGAATTTGATGTGATGTGCAGGTTGTATAAAGGACTCGTTCCTCTCTGGGGCCGTCAGATACCGTGTAAGTCTTTGGAATTATGTCAAATTGTTTTATATTTGAAGCAACAAACTCTTTCCATGTTTAACCAAGCTGTTCAAGTGTTAACGAGTTTCAGTTAAAGTCGAATAAATCTGGAGGACCTGAGTTTGAACTCAAGCTGAAACAATTGTCAAACAACTAATAACTCATTTTTTATGTCTGAAATTTGGCTTTTCTATCAGACACTATGATGAAATTTGCTTCCTTTGAGACTATTGTGGAGATGATCTACAAACATGCCATTCCAACTCCGAAAGCGGAATGCAGCAAAAGTAAGCAGCTTGGAGTGAGTTTTGCAGCAGGATATGTTGCAGGTGTACTGTGTGCTATTGTCTCACACCCTGCTGATAATCTTGTTTCTTTTCTCAACAATGCCAAGGGAGCCACTGTTGGTGATGTGAGTTTATGCATGCATGCATTCATACATGCATCACCATGTTATGTTCATGTGTGTGATTTTTGCTTACTTGAGTCTTTTCACTAATGAATTTGCAGGCAGTGAAGAAGATTGGAGTAGTTGGTCTTTTCACTCGCGGCCTTCCTCTTCGTATAGTTATGATTGGAACATTAACCGGAGCTCAGTGGGGTCTCTATGATTCGTTCAAAGTATTTGTAGGATTGTAAGTACCTCCTCTACAAATTCTTAAACTATTACCGGTCTCTACTTGTCATAGTCTTATCTTGTGTTCGGTGTTCGTGTCTATATCTGTTTCAGAGCTTTCACCATATATGTATAGTTGCTCCATGATGTACAATGTCATATCACACGTCCCATGTTCTGTGATTTGTCTCTCTTTTCAGGCTAATTATTTTTCTTTTTGATCTTTCAGGCTAATTATTTTTCTTTTTGATCTTTCAGGCCAACTACTGGTGGAGCTGCTCCTGCACCAGCCCCTACACCTACCAATTAGAAACCATTCAAACTACTCATGCTAGGTTATGCAGAAGAGAGATTATTTTGACAGACAAATAATTTTAGATTTCTAATGTTTCTCAGCTATCAAAGAACCAGCACATTAGAATATAATTAAGATGAACTTTTTTTTCAATTGGTTTTTTTTATTATGCTTACTCGGTTGTCAGTGTAACAATAGTTTGGATTTTTTTGATTTAATCATATATATGATCGTTTTAGTTCGTGAATTTTACAATTCATAATGTTGAACTTTAACTTCAAGACTTTGCCATCTGAATTTGTTGTACATACAACATCAATGTTAAACTTTAGTAGTATGTCGCCTGCTTGCATAACACTATAAGAACAATATGGAAGTTTCATACTTGAAAAAGGAATTATTCTATGACTAAAATAAATAAATTGGAATAAAAAATAAATAGGTTAACTTTGGGAAATGGACACGATTTTGTGTTTTATGATTTTTTTTCCGCCGACTATTTACTCTTCAAGTTAGGTACCTTGCATAGCAAGATAAGTCCCGTCGAAAAGTTGTCACTACCCATGACAGTTGGTGATAATTTCTGCAAGTACCACTCAAATGTGCTGGAATCTGACCAAATACTTCTGTTCCAATTTTGATCCGACTAGCCGTTCCCCTATGATTGAATTTTTCCTCCGGCATCAATTTTCTGCCAATGTCTAATAAAACGTCAAACTAATGTCCTGAAAATCCAATGGTCATTTAAGACTGACCAGGGCTTTGTGGATATACAGTGTCAAATACGATCCTTGCAAACACGTGCCGTGTTTCTAGCAGGTCACCATGAGCTAAAGATTCATAATCAATTTTTTTGCCTTTCTTGGACGAGAATTTCTTAGAACCACTTGCTTTCAGACAGTCAAAAATGCTTAGAGCTTTAAGGTACATTCCTAATGGGATGAACACCTGTCAAATTGTCAAAGATTAATAATACAAACCCAGATTAATGATGTTAATCAGTAATCATTAAACCAACACATCAACAAAGATAGCCCAAATTCATAAAACACAATCAGATTATCATCAAATATCTAACCTGCCACTTGAACTGTGAATAATGAGTTCAATAATATTCTAGTCCAGTCCATCTGTAGGATAATAATGTCAAGTAGTACGTGTAAAATCAACATAAAAGACATGCTCACCATATCTGAATGAGGGGCTTGAGGATAGTCAGCCATAGCTCGAGCTACCGAGTGCCTAGATGTCATCTGCAACAATGACAGTTTAACAGACTTTGCAAGATCTACAACCTCGTTTGCCAAAGCCTTTGCTTTTAGATTGTAGGGATCTGATAATTCAGGAAATCTGATATCGTGTGGTTTGTTGATCCTCCTAGCTATGTCTACCGCTTCCAACAAATTTCCACCATTATGAACTGCAAGACTAAATGCTGCAATCACCAAGGGATTCCTTGGTTCATCACTCAAAGATTTATGCAATGCAAGGATACCAACCCTGAAAGCATAGATTGTTTATGAGTCTTGCCGTGATGACCCAACATGTAAATCAGCTTATAAATCTTTCTACATATCCTTACTTTTTAGAAACTATTCTTAACAACAAAGAGAAAATGAAAAGAAAACTCAATACAGAGAAAATTAAATTGTAAAAGTCACCCAACAATTTAGATATAAAACTGACTTCAATAAAAGGCTCCCAAAGCATCAATTTGAAAACTTGAACTGCTTCACAATACGATAAAGTTATTGGTTATGAAACTTGAACTAAGGTTTCTTTTACTTTATGAAAATACTTCCTATTTGTCATTTTAATGTGTGTTCATTTTAACTTATTCATAAGATGTGAGACTCTTAAAGTGAACCATTATGATGGAGAGAAGGTGAAATGCAAGCTAGAAATAACGCATTTATAAAAATAATTAATGCAATATTTTGGCATTTTCCTTGTTTTCAAAAAATGCACACAATTGTTCACTTCAGGAGTTGGTATTTCCTTGTTAGCAAGTAAAATTAACACAAATTTTAAAAAATAAAAATATGTAACATTTTCACAGTAAATGGAGCCTAAAATTCTTTGTAAAAACAAGAAATAGGCATTGTTGTTGCATGGATCTTACCATAAGCAGCTATGACACGGACGGTTAGGTGCCAAAAGTTTATCCAAATTGAAGAAGAAAGACTGCACATCAAATTCCAAAAATCCAATAAAAAATGTACCACGGTGGTGCAAAAAATGTTGTACATTTTAAATTGCTATTCAAGTAAAACAGAATAATTCTGAGATAATCTACCAAGCCATATGCAAATTAAGAAAAATAAACCCCCACCCTGGCCCCTTCCATTTTCTGTTCGGAACTTAAAAGTCTTCTGTCTCTTTTAAAAGAAGTATCTCTTTACTGTTCAAAGTCAGATACCAAAGTTACTCAAATAACACCAAGCACCTAACTATGCTGATGAGTACTCTAGTTACTCTAGATGTTTGATAAAAATAAACATTCAAATATCCTCAGGTAGTGAAACCAAGGAACTCAATGTTGTGCATATTCTGGTTTAATACTTTGCAAGGATTGTGTAAAAGTAGGGAAGAAGGAATTTCATTAGTTCATAGACATATACTCCTTCTGTCCCTAATGTATGGTCTTCTAAGCTTTCTATTTTTGTCCCAAAACTTTGTTTGTTTTAGGAAACCAAGATACAATTTAGCATGTTTTTCCTTGCATACTCTTACAAGAACTAAATTTATTGTTTTTTTAATATGTGTGCCCAAACCTTAAAGGACCAAAGATCGAGGATAATGGAGCAAGTATGTGTTTAGAACCAAAAAGTTAAGTGATCTAAGAAAATTGTCATTTGTATGGTATTACCAATAGACCATTCAATACATAACTTGAATCCTGCAAGTTTTCAGCATAAACTTCATAAAGAGAAATGGAGTTACCAAAAGCATATTCGTTCTTTTGTCCCGTCTCCGAAATCCATGACGAACAAAATAAAGAGCCTGTAATGTCAAAAGCGAGCTGAACTAGCATTCCATGATTAAGCTTTAGAAACTAGAATGCCGAATCATCAACTACCTGAAAGGGAAGAAGAATATCTAGAAGTCCAAATTTCCATAATAACCTCAAAGAAGCTTCACCAGATCCATATGCTAGCATATAATTCATTTCCATCAGAAGCCTACCCTAAAAGGCAAAAACAGTTAAGGAGGGACATCTAAGCCGCATTATATTCTCGTCTATGTATAGGATAAAGCAGAGAGAAGAAGTAAACTTTTAAATACCTTATCAAGTCTCAATACTGAATATGAAAGATTTTTAATAGAACGAGCAGTTTCACTTGAAATACTAAACCCCAAGCGAGCAGTAATTCTAATTGCACGAAGAATGCGAGCTGCAGAAACAAATAGAGGCAGAAAGACCTATGTATTCACTATTCAGAAGAGAAGGTGTGTTCAATGAAGTTTACACAGCCCAAAATATGAGTAATGGTGAAAAAATAGGTTTTTATATTGTGAATTGTCACCCAAAACTCACCACAGTCCTCCTGAAAAGAAGTAGCTGCAGGAGCTATGGTTCGAACCTGTTTACATAAAATTATGATGAAAAGTTTAAATTTCTGATTAAAAAAAGAAATATAACAACAGCATCAAAGAGATACATGCACACTTTCGCTTTTATAATATCTTCCATTCCTCCCATGTAATCATATACAATTTTTGCAAATGGATCAAACATAAACCTGAAAGAGTGTAAAACTGGTTAACAGCAGAAAGAGCTGTATTGTAAATATAGTGGAAATGTCATAAACAAACATTTGCAGCAAAACAATAAAGGGAATAGTGTTTCTGCTTTTGAAATTGAAAGAATTGGTGCATTACCCATTGATTGTAAAATCTCTATTCAAACAATTCCTCCAACGAAGATAGTCCTCCTTGTCACATCCCTTAGGTGCCTCAATATCATGAGCAAAGTGTCTACCAGGCTTGCCTCTGGTGGCAGTGTTGAAACTTGAAACCTAATTGGAAGGGAAGAATAAAACTATCATGAAAAGAAGAGTAGGAAATTATTTAAGCAATCACCCAAAGTAAAGATAACTAACCAAAGGTAGAAAGAAACAGATTGAGAAACATAGAAATATACCAACCTCAACGATGATACCATCTATATGAACATGACATATTGGGAACCTTTTACCAACTATTTCACACCATGAAAATGTTCTCATCACCTAAAAATTGAGTCAAGATTCACCAAGCAGAGTTAAGGTTAGAAAAGGACAGGCTCAGAACATATATTTCAATTTAGAAGTTAGATTTCATGTAAAGTCTGCAAGTTACTACCAATGCCTATTAGTTTGAGTGATAAGGAACTCAATTTCCTTAAGGTTTCAAATTCAAATTCTGTTAGTGGAAAATATAAGGCTGGGAGAGCTTTGTTACTCATTTAAGTGGGTCTACTCAGTTCAAATCTGATTACTCAAAAACACAAAGTGTCTTTTGAATACCAGAGATCAAATATAAACATATATAAAATGACTCAAGTGAGAACATTTAGTTTTTGTGAGAAATGAGAACAAACAAAAACAACTATAAGATTAAACTAATGGTCCTTCCTTTCATCGCTCAGCCAGAGTTTTTCCCCTTTAAATCTTTGCAGCACAAAACATTGGTGATGCTATTTAGAAAACAACAAAATGAAATAGTGCAGCAATCACTCAAATGATTCAACGTCATTGAAAGGAAATTAAGATAACCTCTTTAAGATCTGCTGAAGTTATAATATCAAAATCTTTTGGTATTTGCATTAGTATCAGGTCCCGTACACAGCCTCCTACAAGGTAAACATTATACCCTACAACAACAAGAAAAAGGGTTACTAACTATGCACTTCCCTCCCTTAACTCAAAGACATAAACCTAGAAACCTTATTTCACACTTGAGTAATCCGCACAAGCGCACCAAAACATATACCATAGCATAAAGATTAATATTTCCAGATACATATAAAGATG